CGGAGTTCTGTGGAGTCAGGGCCTATGAGGGAGGTGCGAGGGTGGGGACCTGGAGAGGAGCGGTCTTTGAGGGCGGGGCGGGGGCAGGGCCCTGGAGAGGCGGGGCCTGTGAGGGAGGGGCGGGGCCCTGGAGAGGCGGGGTTTATGAGGGAGGAGCGGGGGCGGAGTTCTGTGGAGTCAGGGCCTATGAGGGAGGTGCGAGGGTGGGGACCTGGAGAGGAGCGGTCTTTGAGGGCGGGGCGGGGGCAGGGCCCTGGAGAGGCGGGGCCTGTGAGGGAGGGGCGGGGCCCTGGGGGGGCCGGGAGGGGGAGGGAGGGGGGGGGGGGGGGGCGGGGGGGGGGTGCAGGGCCGGGGGGGGGCTGGGGGGTGGAACCAAGGAGGGGCGGGGTCTGCAGGAAAGGGAATAGGGTGGATCTGGACTCTAAGAAGCGGGACCAAAACTCCCGGGACTGGCCCGTTGGGGTGGGGTCTAGCCAGAGGAGCAGTGGTTAGGACCCCGAAGAGGGTGGTGCTTGAGGCTGCGTGGGACTAGATGGGGTTTTCTTCCTGTCTGTGGATTGGGGTCTTGGGAGGGCATGCGGAAGGCTGGTTGTGGGAGCCTTGGTCAAGCCAGTTTGCCTGCCCCAGCTGGGTGCTGCTTCCAGAATGTTTGTCTAATAAGGCTCTCTAATGGCCCCATGCATTTTTTAGCTGTTTTCATAAAGTTAAATCACGTTGTAATGAGACTGTCATTATTTGGGTTGCTTTTTCCTTGGTGAACTTTTCTGGGGAGAAGAGCTCCTCTCAGGAGCCTGGGGAGGGCCCCAGGACATCAGCTGGGCTGTGGGAGGGAGGCAGGGGCGCTGTTGGGGTGCCAGGCAGGGGAGAGCAGCCGCTCTGCAGGTGACTGCCAGCCTGTGGGCGATGGAGGCAGTGAGAAAGGGGTCACGGGGCGCGGGAGACAGGACCCACAGGAAGGGATCCCTCGTGGCCAGATGTGGACTGGTGCCACACTGGGCGCTCTGGTTCCTGGCTTCCCAGCTGCCCAGGGGGGCCAGGTGGCCCAGTGCTGGGGGGCTCAGAGCACTGTGGCCACAGAGAGAGATGACGGGGGTAAAGCATTTCTGTTGCGCTGACCTGAGCCCGTCCTGCAGCCGCTGGGCGCACCAGCTCCCGGAGCCAGTCCCTGAGGTCCACAGATGCCCGGCGGCGTGAGGAGCTGGGGGACGAGCTGCAGCACTTTGGGTTCCCGGCCCCCCAGACTGGTGAGCTGCCGGGAGGGGGTTGGGCAGGACTAGGGCTTTGGGAAAATACTGTAAGTTAACAACCACCACTAGTTATGAGTAGTGAGTTGAATAACATGCCATAACTAGACTACCCTCTTAGGTGCAGGACTCTTGTTTCCTGACTGCTTGGCGTTAGGGGAACTGGTGTGAGGTGAAGAGGCCTGTCCCTGGCCAGACCCCAGAGGCCCAGGGATGGCACAGGCTGGCCCTCAGAGCTCCCAACCTTATAGGGGAAATGGCCAGTTCTTGAGGTCAGCCTGCTTCGAAGGCCCAGGGGTTCTGCCCAGCCCCTCTGCCTGCTCCCCAGCAGGGCGGCCCTCCCACTGTGGGGTCCGGCCGAGGTCTGACTGCGGCCCGATGGCAGCAGGCCTGTGACACTGTAGTGGGGCCTGCAGGTGACCCAGCAGCTGAGGAGTGGTCCCCATGGAGCGTGTGCTCCAGCACCTGCGGCGAGGGCTGGCAGACCCGCACGCGCTTCTGCGTGTCCTCCTCCTACAGCACGCAGTGCAGTGGGCCCCTGCGCGAGCAGCGGCTGTGCAACAACTCTGCTGTGTGCCCAGGTGGGTGGGGCCTTGGGCTGGGACGGCGGGGGGCTGGGGCGGCGGGGGGCCGGGGCGGTGGGCGGCCGGGGCGGCGGGGGGCCAGTGCAGTGGGGGGCCAGGGCGGCGGGCAGCCAGGGCAGGAGGGGCAGTGGCAGCAGAGGGCAGCAGTGCTTTCCATCTCTCTGCAGTGCATGGTGCCTGGGATGAATGGTCACCCTGGAGTCTCTGCTCCAGCACCTGTGGCCGTGGCTTTCGGGATCGCACGCGCACCTGCAGGCCCCCACAGTTTGGGGGCAACCCCTGTGAGGGTCCAGAGAAGCAAACCAAGTTCTGCAACATCGCCCTATGCCCTGGTAGGTGAGAGAGAGGGCGCGGGGGCAGGGAGGAAGGGAAGAAAGGGGAAGTCACAGCGGGTCGCTGGCCAGGCCCAGGAGCCCAGCTTTGCCCACTCCAGACCCACCTCAGGGTGCTCAGAGGTTGGAATCTCAGACCGGGTTCAGGAAGGAGGCTGAGGTGTGATCTTGGGGCATTCCCAGCCACATTCCAGGCTGGGTGTGGGTTGTGGCCCCAGTGTGTTTGCACCCATGTCCCAGGCTGGGTGTGGGTGGTAGCCCCTGGGGTGTTCCCACCCATGTCCCAGGCTGGGTGTGGGTGGCAGCCCCTGGGGTGTTCCCACCCATGTCCCAGGCTGGGTGTGGGTGGCGGCCCCTGGGGTGTTCCCACCCATGTCCCGGCTGGGTGTGTGTGGTGGCCCCCAGCGTGTTCCCACCCATGTCCCA